ATTTTTTAAAGATTTATTTATTTATGCATACAGAACTGGAGTACAGAGGTGCAGGGGCAGTGAGAGGATTCACCAAAGGTAGAGTGGGGAGCAGAACAGGCAGATCGACAAAGTACACTGCTGAAGTGCTGAAGGGAACAGTGGGCAGGTCAGGAGAGGTCTGCCAGCCATGTGGGTCACCTCCAGGGCAGGGATCAAACTCACACTGAAGCTGCCACTAGCTTTGCAGTGCTGCACTTTGCCCCACTGTGCCACCAGGGAGAGCCCTCAAAGTGAGGACTGACTACTTCACAAGAGAGTAGAACTTCAAGTAAAACCCTTGAATATCCTTGAAGTCGATTTTACTCATCTAAGGGCCTATAGTGGATTAGAAACTCAACATGTATTTCTTAATTAAGTAAGAAGGTGAGTCAAAGATGAATGAACACCTGCATCTTGCAGGACTCAGTGGATAGCACTTGGGGATAGCACTTTATTTCTAAGACTTAGAAATACAGTTTCTGGGTTTCTCATGAGAAGTAAGATAACGTACCTGGAATGCTCATCCCAATGCCCCTTAACAGAGTGAGGGGAGAGTTCCGCGTGACAAGGCCAAGGTCATGTAAGTTTGCAAAGCATTACAGGGATCCTAGTAGAGCCTGGCTTTCCTTCCCTATGGTGCTAACAGGCTTTCTGCTGGCAAGGCCTTGAGACAGATTCAGTTTGGAGGAGAAATATTCAGAGGGGACAAGAGTTGGCCACATGTCAAGTTCTCCTCTGGGTGATATCTTATGACAGCTCACTGAGGTTTTGACTTCAATATCTCCCTCTGCTCTTGGCTCTCTATGAATATCTTGATCCCACTCTTTCCTGGATTTTTCCAATTCACAGTGTCCTTGTTTCTCATAGATTATTGTCTTTGACCTTGGTTGTCCTTGCCATTTCTTTACTGCGTGTACCTCATGGATTCCCGATAAATGTTATTGACATACACTGCTATGGATCTCCTAAGGGCCCAAGTGGTTTCAATTCACTGCCTCATTCTGACTTTATGGCTGTGTCTCGGGTTTCTCACTTGCTTCCAATTCCATGTTTCTTCCTAGACCACTGACTTCTGGGAACTTTCCCAGTTCCTTCTCAGTCCACCCTCTCTCCCCTACATACATCCCTGCTATTCACCCTTACTTCTGGTTCCCATGTCTCACTGCCCTCCAGCCTCCATTCAGATCACAGATACTTTTACTGGCCTCAAAGATCTTTGGGCAAGGTTCCCTAAATGGATCACACTGAACCAGTTCACACCAAAGAAATGATCAGATTTAATTCGACAGGTGTTGTTCAGCACCCATTATGTATGCGGATGTGCTGATGCAATGTTGCATAAGCCAGATCTAGTTTCTTCTTTTATGGAGTGGTCGACAAACATTCACCTATGTATGAGATTATAATAAAATAAAGTGTGATAAGAACTTCAGTAAGAAAGCATAGGAGGTTTTTGCCGCAACAGCAAGGAATTCAACTAGTGAGAAAATAATGCAAAACACATGCTCTTTAGTGGCTTATTCTGAAGGAGTACACATAGTTTGCTCATGACATTAAAGATGGACTAGTCCCAAAACAGTGCGGATATTGACAAATTCATTAATTAGAGTCATATGCAGAGTGATATTTTGAAGAAAAAGCATAAGGAAGTTAAATAAGTAACTAAGCCTTTCTGAGAACTTGGATTCTGTGAAAATATGAACTAAGGCCGGCCTCTACTGAGAAACAGGAGTGTGTATGATTTACATAGACTTGTGTAAAACTAGAATGCATTTCTATTTTCAACTACCAATGAAAATGCAAGAAACTAAGTTCTCCTATTGAAAGAAATGATTAGAATTGACAAGAAAAGTGAAGCTCTTAATAGATGTTTCCTGTTTATGAAAATGTAGCCGAATTTGATCCTTAGCTATGGCCTTTATTAAATGTAGGTTTTGAAATGAAATCAGCCTTGAGATACTAAGGGTTGGGTGTCCACCTGAAAATTCCTGCTTGGTGGCATCAGTGCCATGTGTCAAAGGTGACTTTCTTAGCCTGTGAATCATTCTGAAAACACCATCTTCTAGTTCTTCCCCTTCTACCAAAGGAAATTCATCAATTTCTTTTTAATTATGCTAATATTTGGCTCTCCCCATCAGGTTATTGCTACTGGAGCCCACCCACCACCAAATCACCCATAGTCCACTGCCACAGTCCTTTGTACTTCCTTCCCCAAGAGGACTTTTAATAATAATATCTTTGATTCTCTTTTGATTCAGTAGGTCCGAGTCAGGGCTGTAAAGAGTAAGAAGCCATGACTGATGTATCTGAAACTACCCACATAGGGAAGAAAATTGTTTTCTGACATTGTTTTCTAACATTCTACTATCAGTTTCTCCTGTTTCTTCCTGCTCGATCCTGATTCCTGAATGTCCAACTGTGGCGCTCGAATGAGCAAAGGGAAACGCTCACCAAGACCGGCCACCCACTTGCTGGTTTCTTTCCATCTTCCTCCTGCTTACTCAGTCTTCCCCTCATCTCAGGCCTTCACTTCCAGATTTATTTGCCTTCCCCACCCATGGGCTGTAAGATATGATATGATTGTGCTTCACTTCAATGGAAGGGTTCAGATTCAAGGCTCAAAAGGTCACTGCCTCAGGTCCTAGGCCATAAGACTATGCATACCCCCAGGTCATAAGCCTTAAAGCCTATTCTCAACCTCTCTTTCCTCCTCACTCACACAGTCAGCCATTCAACAAGTCCTGCTGTTTCTACCCAAAGTCATCTCTGTACCTCTCCATGGTAATGGATAAGATTACAGCTTCTCAGCCATGTGTGCCATCCTGCTCTATGACTTTGGAGAAATTATTCAGTCCATCTGAATTCATCTCCTTCTTCAAATAACAGCACCTAACTGTCCTGCACAGTGTCTGACCCCCACTGTGCTGATGGGATATTTAGGGTCTCATGGTAGATTTTACCCTCCACTCCATGCAACAGCAATTTAACCTCTCTTAATTTTTTTTTCATTTTTGCTGGGTTAACACTAGTTTATGCTATTGTATAGGTTTCAAGTGCACCTCTTTAGCCATGACATCCTATATTCTTTACCTTCGAGACATCTCAGAGCCACCTTCTTCATGAACCCTTCACCATTGCCCAAGTTCAGACTTGACCTCTTCCCTATTCACACTTTTTAGCTGTTTCACATAAAAACCACATCCTGGCCCTCCCTGGTGGCGCAGCGGGTTAAAGTACAGCACTGAGAATCTAAAGCCGCTTCTGCATGAGTTCGATTCCCGCCTGCCCCGGAGGTGACCACATGGCGCGGCAGACCTCTCCTGACCCGCCCGCTGCTCCCCTCAGCAGTGTACTTCGTCGATCTGCCTGTTCTGCTCCCCGCTCTGTCTCTGGTGAAGCCTCTCGCCGCCCCTGAGCCTCTGGCCTGTACCCCAGTTCTGTATGCACAAATAAATAAATCTTTAAAAAAAAAAAAAAAAAACAACCACATCCTCACTATTACATGCCTGTCCCTGAGGACAAGTACTGCTTTGTGTTTTTTATTCCTGTTCCCCAGTTCCCAGGCTATTGCTTTGCAAATAGTAGACACTCTACGATTAACATCTGCAGATTAATGCTCATGCAACCGTGCCAGAGACAGGCAGAGAAAAGTCATCATACACAGGCTGTGGGAGGGGTGCACACGTCGGGAGTCCATCAGCTCCAAACGCAGTGGAGTCACAGCGACACCAATCCTCGATGACGTCTCCAGTCCCAGAGCACCAGAGAGAGCTCATGGTGGCCTCCTGCAAGAGCTGTGAGAGAGCAGAGAGGAGGTAAGTGTCAGAAGCCACAGCTATAATTGAGAGACAGAGCCACAGTTCCATTGACCCTAACTAACTGCCCAGCAGGTGGCTGTCACACCACTTTGCCATGTGTTAGCCCAAAATCCCTACCCCAGGAGACTGTTTCTGGGAAGCTGCTAGGACCACTTGGGAGTCTTTTATTAGTGGTTAATTAGGTGGGGGGTGGAAGGGGGAATCCCTATCCTATAAAATTTTAGGTCAAAAATCAGAAGGAAGGAAAGAAAGAAAATGAAAAACAAAACAAAACAAAACAAAACAAAAAACCTGAATAAGATAATCCTACACAAATCAAAATAGTCTGAACCCAAAGCCAGAATGTTATGTTTGATTCTTCAGAAACAATCGTATTTAGGTCAGAACACTTGAAACAGTGTCCACAGTGGGCCTCCCTGACACCCCCCACCTCCCCAGAATGGCAGCTTCCATGGAGAGAGCAATTCTTGATGGTCACTACAAGTTACACAGAATTTTGAATTTACCAGGCCCTTTAGGTGCTAACACTCTAGTGTAAGGTCTGTGGTGAACAGCTATGATTTCTGGTGGACGATATTGGTGGTACAGGGGCTGTTAGTTGCTTTCACAGGCTAGTGAGCAGGGCAGGGCCAGACCTGAGCTCTATATGACAACTCCACACCTCGCTTTCTCCATCCAGCTCTCCTAATTAACTGCACCCACAAATCCCAGCAGGAAACCTGCCACAAAGTGGGTGCTCACTTTAGGTCTTGCCTGACTGAACCAAATTCAAATTAACAGGTACATTTGTTTCAGCTAGGGAAACAGGCCTCTTTTGTGACAAATGGAATAAGGAGGACTTTGTGGCTGGTGCCTCACAGTCTTCAAGCAACAATTCCTGGCTAAGCACCTAGCAGGGGCCACTTTCTGTGATGAACATTGAGTTTATACTGGGGCATGCAATTAACTGGCTTCTGGCTGCATATAACTTTTATCCACATAGTAGACAAACAAGCAAGAGTTTCACATGGAGGCCCTCCCTGGTGGTGCAACGGGTTAAGGTGAAGCACTATGAAATTATCCACAGCCACTGCAGTACAAGTTCGATCCCTGGCCAGGGAGATGACCCACGTGGTGTGACAGACCTCTCCTGTCTTGCCCCCTACTTTTCTCAGCAGTGTATTTTAGCCAGTCTGTCTCTTCTGCTCCCCACTCTGTCTCTGGTGAATCTTCTCCTCCCCCTAGCCCCCACACCTCTGGCCTACACCTCAGTTCTTGTATGCATGAATAAAAACTAAATATTAAAAAAAAGAGTTTTGTAGGAACCAGATCATCCCATTCTGCTTAAGGGTTCAAGGGGAAAGAGTGATATATAGTGGGAAGACTTCATGAGGATAAATGTTTCTACTTGAGCTCGAAGGGGTTAGTCAATAGTACCTGGTCACAAAAATTGGGAAAAGTATATTGTTTAACTCTCTATCTGATGGCACAGAAGCCGAAACCCACGAGGAAACCCTTTGAGATGCAAGGTCATGTGACATGAGATAGGAGGCAAGGCTGAAATCAGTCTCCCAAATATAGACAGATATTGAAATGCAAGTTGGAAGTGTTGGATTGGTTGTTTTTTGCTAAATAGTGGTATAATTTGAATTTGGATCCAGAACTGCAACAAATGGAGCACCCTTCACTTCTGAAAGTTGTCCATCTAACCATGAGTCAGATCTCAGTTCTGTCTTCATGGCTATTTTTGGTCTGGGCAGTCAGAGTGCATCTCGAGGACAGAGAACATGCTTCTGGGCCTGTATTCTGGAACAGAACTAACCAACTTATGAAAAATGAGAGGTTTTTTTCCCTTTTGTTTAAAATGAGCAGGGCATTTTCGTCCTGTTGTGATAAGCCCGCCCTGCTGTTTTTGCGAAATAAGCAGAAGCAGGAAAAAAACCTCATGACTATCATGGTTCCCAGGGTCTCAGGTAGGAGAAAATATTTAGAAGACCACTCTGGGTAAAACTGGTCTCCAAAATCAACAGAAAGGGGTTAAGTGGCTGTAAGAAGTAGGATGAGGGTGGCAAAGAGATGCTCAATGGCTCAATGAATGGGGGGTGGGAGAACGAACTGGATTGTTGGGGCCAGTGGGGTCAGATTTAGGGAGTGGGGGAGTCATCACATTCTAAGAACAATGGTGAACCATTAAAACTTAAACAAGAAAACAGCATTCAGCTTCTAATTCAGAGAAGGACAAACACTTAAGATGACAATTATGTTAAGAATCATTTCCTCAAAAAATTTCACTTTCCAATTTGATTTACAACATTCCAAGAGAGTCTCTACTCTCTGAAGCCTGGGTATAGGCAGCTGAAGAAGATAGGAGGAGGTTACAGGGAGGAATCAAGGTTTTGTATTGTTTGTTTGTTATTTTTTGGAAAGGAAGAGAAGAAAAGTCACATTTATCTTATTATTTACAATATTGCATGCACTGCATGGAGACTCTTCATGTGTTATTAGTTTTAAGACTGCTTTGAGAAAAGAAGCAGGATTTTCCAATTTTGGTTATTATTTTGCTATAAGGAAAGCAGGTAAGCTTTCAAGCCAAGTTCATCTATCCATTTATTTCTCTATCTGTTCATCATTTTATTCATTTATTCAACAGTGACAACCATGTGCTACTACTGCTAGGCACTAGAATTTCATAGAAAAAAATACATTTCTCAAAGTCTAGAGGGGAATAGACAACCATGTCAATAACTCTGATATCAGGTGGTAATATGTGCCTTAAAGGATGTATGTACAGATACCATGCAAATGCATGAAGGAGCACTTGGTTGACTGGGAGAGCAAGTGCGGACTTCTGACAGTTGGCAATACATGAGCTGAAACTTAAATAATAGTGGGAGTTTGCCAGTGGCAGAAATATGGATGATGGTGTTAGCAGGCAGAATGAGGATTACCCTGGGGCTTCCAAATGAAAAGGGAGAGCACAGAAAGAGGAGGAGGGAGGGAGACAGCAAGAGAGAGAGAGATTAATTGGTAAATATAGCCTACCAGTAACACTGCCTGAGCTGGGACTTTGGGTACATGTTAAATGCAGGTGAAATCAAGCCTCCTCCAGGACCACATATGTTCTGTTCTATACCAAGCATGGCTGCTTAAGTGCACCCTTAGTTCCCAGCAATCCTCCCTTCAATAAGTCAAGAGTCATGGCAGATCCATGGCATGATGGGAGTTGTAATCCCTGGTGCCTGGGATCTCTCTGGCATGAAAGTGGGAGGTGGAGTCCATAAAACATCAGCGAGTAGAGTTCATTCAGGACATACTATTCCAGCAACAATGGGAGGAGAATCACAAGGCTGACAGATAGGTCAGGTACATGAAAGAAATGTGTTATTATAAGAGGAAGTGCAAGGAGTTAAATTTTAGAATAGAATTATTTGGTTGGGTAATGAATTACTCTTGTTACAATGTGCTAAGGACTTCAGATGGTACTGAATAGATTCTGCACAGCCATTTTACCTGCTACAATGTAATTAGTCCATATTAACAGAGTAGATTTGACTAATTTAATAGAGACCAGTCAAAGTCTCCCAGAGTAATAAGATGTTGGCATCATGTTACAAAATAATCTATGTCAAAATAATCTATGTCAAGGGTAAGCCGAAAGAGAGGGTTGCTTCAAGATGTGTGTGACTGTTGGTGATGGAATGGGTATTAAGAAATGAAAAGTCTAGGAAGTAGACTTTGTCTCCTGCTTGAGCAACTTGGCAGAAAATAATGTCATTCAATGAGATGGAAGCAGGGCAGTTACAACTGGGGTGGGAGGTGAATTCAAGTTTGTTGAGTTTGAAACACCTGGTTGATGACATGGTTTGACTGACATATTTCTAGATTACAGTCAGAGAGTAGACTGACATCAAAGGTTATCTAGTCCAATAGAAAGAGAAGGCCAAGGAAAGTTAGAAATTGGTCAAAGATGCACTAAGTATAGAAATAAAAGCACAACCAACTGACTCCCATGACTTACCAACTTCTGCTTTTCTTTTGCTTCTCATGCCTCATCTCTATTCCTTGGAAGAAGAGGTGAAATTAGGAGGAAAAGTGGACATATAGAGGAAATGGCAAAGATAAAATATGTCTAAGGAGAAGAAACATGTGGTGTGATGAACTGCAGCTCAGATCAATTAGTCTGTTTAGAAACTCAGGTGTTCCATATATGGCCAGATGGAAAACAGTTTCTAAGTCATCCCTTAAAGACTAGTGCCATGGGGCCCTCCCTGGTGGCGCAGCAGGTTAAAGCACTGCACTGAGAAGCTAAAGCCACTTCCGCATGAATTCGATCACCGCCTGCCCTGGAGGTGACCACATGGCGCGGCAGACCTCTCCTGACCCGCCCGCTGCTCCCCTCAGCAGTGTACTTCGTCGATCTGCCTGTTCTACTCCCCGCTCTGTACCTGGTGAATCCTCTCATCCTCCGCACCTCTACCTGTACCCCAGTTCTGTATGAATAAATAAATAAATCTTTAAAAAAAAAAAAAAAGACTAGTGCCATGATGGAGGAAGGAATGCAGGGGAGGCATCACAAGATTGAGTCTCACAAAGGGACAGATAGAAGGGGCTAGTGAAGCAATTGACACAGCCATAACATCAAGATCCTGAGGCACCAAAGCAGAAGCCCAAAGATGCCTGAATGTCTGGGGTGTCTGTCGAAGGTCCCAGAAGGTAACAGACTGTTAGGGACTGTGCCTGAAGTTCAGACCCAAACATGGAGATGAAGCTCATCAGGAATCTCCCGTCCTTTTAGAGTCTATTCAAAGTCAACAAACCTAGGCTCACAAGGAGTGAGCCCCTCCCAAAGAGAAGCTGCCTAGGTCTGGGCAGTCGCTCCATCAGCCCAGGGCAGCCACTCCTCTGTGTACCTGTGCCTAGGCAGGTGCTTCTTTCCACCGGCTCTCTCCCTCTGCAGGGCAGCAGCCTCCTGCTGCCTGTGACCTGTACCATGCAGGGACTTCTCTGCACTGACCTCCCCCAGCAGAGGCCGCTCTCCTAAGACCACCTGCCTGCAACCATGCAGGCCTCTCTCTCTGCAAACCTGTCCCTTTCGGGGCAGCTCTCCCTGCCTGCTTGTGTATTGCTATACAAGTGTATTTTCCTTGCCTGTCTCTTTCTAATAAACTTACTCTTTAAATTTAACTGAATCTCTGTCTTGTGGAGAACCTTGCAATGTGCCGCTGAAAGGGGGAGCTCTAGTAAAACCTTTCCCAGAATGAACCCAAGTATCCCACACTCCAAAAAGATGACATCACCGGGAGACAGGGAAAGGCTGATGACCAGCTCTCTGGGGATCCAGAGAGAGAGAGATTGTTAAAGACCAAACTTTCTTCAGCTTCCTCATTTTGCTTTCTATTCCCCGGCAGGAATAGTAAGGGTGGTCCCCAGGGAAAGAGAAGATTCCAGGTTTCCTGTCTTACTCAAGGAAGGGTAGAGCTGAGCAGGTAGGTGGAGAAGCTGGAGATGAGACTGGAAGAAGGAAGGAGACTGGGTGAGGCACATGGAGCAGAGAGAAATGTGAAGAAGCTGTTCTTGCTTCTCAGCCTTGGACTTAAGAATTGGAAGGAGACATTTGAAATAGATGTGGGTTAGAGATTCATGGGGAAATTAACCATGGCAGTTTTTAATCTTGATTTTGAGTTTGCTTTTTCTTCCAGACTTTTCAGGGCCCTTCTGCCCTTTTCCTAGGGATCCCCACCAGAAGGTGTCTTAGACTTGTGGCTGGCTTTTGGACCTCAGCGGTCCTGTTTTAGGTCATCCCTGTTTGGCTGGGCATTTACCGCCAGGGAAAGGGTAACTCTGGGTGTTTTGTATGAAAACTATTTTATCCATTCTTTCCCTTCTCTTGTTGCACACTATTGTATGATAGTTTCTTTCCACTAAATGTCTATGTACTAGGTATGTTTCATTTTAATGCGGCAGATGGCAGAACCCATTTAGATGGGCAGGTAGGAGGGTCCCAGGGGACCCCTTACCCTACCCACTAACAGAGGAGGGATTCTATGACCTCCTTTCCTGCCAAGCTTTTCTCTCCTCACAGCTCTGCACGCCTAGCCTCACAGAATGGTCTGTGAACTAGATCCTGACTCTGCTGTTCCCAGGCCAGTGCACAGACTTCTTGGGGTGCCAGTTGCAGCAGCCCTGGGTGCTCACAGAAGACAAAGTGGGACAGGTAAGCTGAGCAATGGGCATTGGATACAAGTCAAGGGCAGATACTTGGGGCCTTATCTTATAAACCGCAAGAGCTGATTTTTCAGTAGTGTCTGAGACAGCCATATCAAAAGAGCATCCACTTCAAAAGAGGCTAGCCCAAGCACCTTGCCAGCCACAGGGCTAGCTAAGAGCCTTTGTTTTGCAGATTTTGGTGTGTTCAATAACTGTGCAGGTGGGATTTGTCCTTTTTCCCTCTTTTATCTCTCTTTCCAGGCTTTAATTTCCAGCTTCTAAGATTTGAATCCATCAATAAAGACCAAAGCTCTGAAGCCTTGGACCTCAGTCCCAATAAAAGCAGGACCCCAGGTCCTGATTCTCTTTCTATCCCTCTTCCAACCTCCCCAACCTCTACAACCTCACTGTGGCCCACCCTGGTGCTCTGTACATTTTAGGTCTAATAACTCATACACTTCTATTTTTCTTTCAAAGTTTCCCGATGGCTATTGCTGAAGGGCATCTCACAATCACAGTAAGAACCCTAACTGTGGGTCCTGTCATAAAATGAATAAAAAGAGGGAAAGCCTTTGGGAAATTTATCTGGGTTCAGATGAGTGCCCTCAGGTATTTCTAACCATTGCATCATTATCTCTAAGCCCAGACCAATGCAAATTGGGTCTCCATGGTGACCTAAGCCTGCCCTTCTCATTCCCTACAGCTCCCATTCAGGGGTGTCTTCTCTCCCTCTCCACTTCCTCAGTTCATTCCTATTAGACTGAAAAGGAATTTGCAGGTCAAAGGAACTATTTATCTTTTTATTCCTGTGAAAAACCTTATTTTCTAACACTCAGGGAACTATCTGCAGTAGAAGCATATACGTACAAGAAACACACATGCAAATCCTTTCTGTGCTTTGAGCATCACCTATGAGACAAACCATGACACACCAGGTGTTCCTTAAAAGAGTAAAGAGAAAGCAATTATCACCTCACTTGGAGGGGCACACCTCTCAGGCAGGTAAGCAGCTCACTGCTGTGATTCTACGGTCTTATACCTTATACCAGGCTCACCTTTGCCTAAAGTCTCAGAAGTCCCACATGAGTTTCCCTGGTTTTATTTTAGCCTGTGTGTGTGTGGGGGGGGGTGTGTGTGTGCACGCGTGTGGTTTGAATGACTGTTCTTTGTGTCCTTGAAGAGCTCAGAGAGCTAGGAAATTATTGTCATTGCCTCTGCTGCATTTCTCCAGCTTATCCTTTTGGGTCCATTCATTTCATCCTTGTGTCTTTGGGTAGAGGGAGGCAGAGACAGGTAAATTAGAGGTGGCTGGGAAATGTCATAACGCATTGGATGTGCATGGAAAGGATGCTTTGTTCTTAGAGACAGAAGATGGGCTGCCAGACCCTCCCATATCAGACCTGCTCCTGTCATGTTTCTAGTGGTTTGGGGGCAGTTAGGGAGCTGGTTCGCTTCCCATGCCAACAAGTGAGGCAGAGTCCAGTCTCTCATGACTGTTCTCTAGATCCTGACTAATTAACTTTGGTGACTGCAAATGCTCTGCCTACCTTCCGTCATCATCCCAACCCTGCACAAGGGCTGGCTTGTGAGTCCAGAGTTGCGTGGGTATTCGGCAACATTGATCTGCCTTAATGTGTACGTATGCAAATCTAAGCCAATTAGGTGCCTGGTTTAGCTGAACAAAATCTTACTATCTACATTCTAATAAGGAGTTCAATACACCCTATCATGACCTCCGGCCATTTGGAAAGTCCTCTGCTTGTTGTCAGTCTCCCCGGTAGCCTGGAGTCCCAGGCCTCTTACCCTCTGGGTCTGGTTGTTGGTCACTAATTCATAGATGGGGGCTGCTCTGGTCACCTCCAGCAGAACTGGCTCAGCAGGGGTGTCAGGGCTGGATGTAACATGACACAGGGGGCAGGAGGAAGGGCACCGTCCCTTGCTCTGGCACTCCATGCGAACTCCAGCAGCCATGCGCTTGGTGCCAGATTCTGACAGGCTGGCGATGTATTCTGGGAACGTCAGCACCTTGGGGTCTCTTTCCCGCTCCTCTGACTCATCGGATGGGGAGTTGCCTGCCAGACATGAAATGAGAAGAAAGTGAGGGACGTGAAAAAGCAAGGACGGACATGACCTTGTAATCCTAAAGTGCTGGAGGCCAATACTTGTGAGGTTAGAAAAGTCACGCACGGGGTAAAGGTGTGTCTGTTGTCCCACATCAGTTGGGGAATGCGTCCCCTTAGTTGCTAACAGACCTAGGAATGGCACTTCCAAACGAAAGATGAATCACTTGCATTGATGGTTCAGTGGTAGAATTCTCATCTGCCAAACGAAAAATTAGGTGTTCCCTTTCTAAGAATCCTAATTTTCGCCCGATCTGCTCAGTCTGTGCTGACCACGGTAATTTATAACAAACAGTAGCAGCCGTGTGCTCAATGATTCAGTTCTTTGTCCCCAAAGTAGAGATAATAACAGCACCTACTTCTACCACTGCATAATGGACAAATGGCAAAATGTTTTTTAAACACATAAACAGAAGTTAGCACTCATCAAACCATCATCATCACAGTTTTAATTATAATTTTAGGTAAGAGCTTTGTGCTATGACTGAATTTGATTCCTACCTTTTTTTTTTTCATGGGATTCTATCATGACTCCCATTTCATAGATGACTAAAGGAAGGCCAAGCACTTCAAGAGCACACAGTTAATATAGTCTGAAAGTTGAAATTTAAATTCAGTTTTGCCTGATTCCAAAGCCTCAGGTCATAGGGAAAAAGTAGGATTTTTCTGCTTCAGTTATTAATCAACATATTGAATTGGGGGAGGGAATTTTGACTTTTTCAAAAATGTCTCCCCTAGAAGCTTGAGAGAAGGGTTCATATTACCCTTCACTGATGAATAAAAGGTAGTGAGGGACGTCCTTGTTTTATTTTTGGTGACAAACTTGGACACTAGCTACCAGAAAATAACAGTGTTCCTATGGGAGAAAGCACTGCTTGATGAAATTCTCTTTCAAGCCTTCATGATTTTCCCTTTGACTTACTAATTCCAAAGGAAGATGGAAACAGTATCTGCTGGAAAGTGTCTGTTCTGGGTCCCTTACGAGATTCAAGACAGACCCTTGGAGGTACAGCTGTGTCTAAACATCAAACAATTACAGAAAGACGACTGGGCTTTTGGAAAGAGTGGGCAGATACAGAGCGTTCATTCTGCTCCCCTCAGACCTATCCAGAATGCAATACTTGATGGGCCGAATCTTTGGGGGAGCTGGTTGGGAGGATTTGCAAAGTGGTTCCAGAAGGTGACTGTGAGACACGACTCATCAACTTCCTAAGAGTTCTCTCTTCTGGGGTTCAGGGAGCAATCTGATTCTCCCTCGTTTGCTCTGTAATATGAACCCATTTGGAAGCAGCATGAGGCATTTCAGCATTTGGTTTCCCAGATGAGCACCATAATTACGTGGATGAGGCATTTTTACCCAGGCTTCCACCAACAGGGTGCCTCCTGCACCCCAAGGCAAAGGACTCACTCAGAAACTATAAATAGGCGATCGGCTATTTCACATGTGTATTTCGTTTAATCACAGACCCAGAGTTGAACTCAAGCCCTTCCTAGGTTATCAGAGAACTGTACAGCTATGCACTCAAAACTAAGAATGGTGTGATCAGAAAAGAAGCATGGAGTCCAGTGACCACATCAGCTAGCCCCAAAGGCACTCCAAGCCACATGGAAGTCTTTGTTGACATTCAGGTTTGCACAGCTCCATTCCGTGGGATGCTCCACGACTGGGGTGTTCATAAAGAAGCCACTACCTGGCAGGACCCTCCACACTTAGCCCCTGACCAGGCCCTGAGTTCTCTTCAACCCTCTGTATAGACTCGGGGGGAACAAGTAGGGTTAGGTGAGGTCTATGGATCCGTGGTGTGATCTTTTAAAAAACAAGCTTTCGGCCCTTTCTGGTGGCACAGCAGGTTATAGCACAGCACTAAGAAGCTAAAGTCAGCCCTCCCTGGTGGCGCAGCGGGTTAAAGCACTGCACTAAAAAGCTTAAGCCACTTCCGCATGAGTTCGATTCCCGCCTGCCCCGGAGGTGACCACATGGCGTGGCAGACCTCTCCTGACCCGCCCGCTGCTCCCCTCAGCAGTGTGTTTAGTCGATCTGCCTGTTCTGCTCCCCACTCTGTCTCTGGTGAATCCTCTCACCCTCCGCATCTCTGGCTTGTACCCCAGTTTTGTATGAATGAATAAATAAATCTTTGAAAAAAAAAAGAAGAAGAAGAAGAAGAAGAAGCTAAAGTCACTTCCGCATGTGCTCGCTCGGCCGCGGAGGTGATGATCCACATGGGATCCACATGGCGCAGGAGACCTCTCCTGACCCGCCCGCTGCTACACTCAGCAGTGTACTTCGTCAGTCGGCCTGTTCTGCTCCCCACTCTGTCTCTGGTGAATCCTGTCACTGCCCCTGCACCTCTGGCCTGTACCCCAGTTCTTTATGCACAAATAAATAAATCAAATAAATAAATAAATAAATCTTTAAAAAAAATAAGCTTTCAGTCATTGGGAAAATTAATGACATCCTGACACTCCCCCACCCCTTGGTAGAATTGCAGTGCTTCAGATTGATAAAGGCTAGGGAGAAGCGGGAGGGCGTCGCGCCTAGTAGAGGAATCTGCACGTACATGTGCACTCTGTGATCAACAACTTGTTTTCTCTGAACTAAAACTTGTTTTGAACCTAAAGTTCTGCCCCAGTAATGCCATCAGAAAGTGCTGGACATGGACACCATCAGTAGGACAGAATGTTTTCCCAGGCCCAGGAAAACAGGATGTACCAAGTCAAGATGACTAAGGAGGTGACAAATCTGGGGACATGGGAAGAGCAGGGCACTTGGACCGTGACAGACTGTATGTTGGGAGGCTCACTTACGGTTAACTAGCTTTGTTTAGGTCACCACACAATGGCTGGCTTCAGATTAGAGTCAGAACAGGTTTTTGAGGTTTAATACCCCATTCTCTCAGATCCTTGGTTTTCCGAAATAAAAATTACTTGTTACAGATTGGATTCCCGTCTCTATTCAGTTGGTTCCTGGTAACGATAGGTGGCCCAACTCTAGCACTTTCCAGTACAAAAATTAAGATTTCAAAATTTTCACCATGCAAACCTTGCCAGAGACACTGAGGCTGTGGCCGCGGGGTCGTCTAGCACTTTACCATGAGATGCGTTGTTTTAGCCCACGCCTTCGGGCTGAGAACCTAGTCAAGAAGCTGGAAAAAGCATTTCCACAAAGTGACCACTAGATGGCGACATCAAGTCTTCTGTGAGAGGAAAACAGGAATGGCTAATTTTGTGTGACCATTTTGGCCAAACAGAATAAAATCTAAGGAAAAGTTAACACATGGCTACTTTTTTAAAAAATCGTGGAGGTAAATTGTTTCCTCCAGACAGTAAAAAGTTAATGAGAAAAACAATTTCATAAAGCAAACCCTACAGAGAAAAATTATAGGCACAGATAATGACCAAAAAATAAAACTCACAAGGGAAAATAGAAATCTCCCTCCATAGCCATCACATGGAGTAAAAATTGCTTCAATCAGGGAATAACGTCACCAGATTCTTTTTCTCGCCTTTAAGCCCCAAATGCCCCAACCCGTTACACATTTTCCACACTGTGCTCTCCTGACAGACAAACGTGGCCACAAGAGGGCGCTGCAGGTCCAGACACGCAAACACCCAGAAACAGTCTGGCGCTGCTGGTCTGGCGCCTCCCTGCCCTCCAGCTCTGCTTCATTAAGACTTGTAATTGCTGTAAACATTTCAGGGGCTGCTCCCTAGTTGCTGTCTTCTGGCTATCCCAATTAAAATCAAGCTGCAGCTAATCCCCCTGAATATCCTTCAGCCCTGGATTGGTGGCAAACTTCGAGGAGAGGCACAGGGAGGAAGAATGCAGGGGAAGGTTAACAGGAAGGCACCGAAGTCTTGCTTTAATGCAATCACATTTTCCTTTGCTTAAAAATACTCGGGTCCATATACAGCAGGTCTGGCTGGAGGTCAAGGCTAACTGTCCCACAGTCCCCTCCTCGTGCAGGATGAAGCTGTCTAGAGAGGAGCTGGATTTACACAGAAGTAATGAGAAGTGAACTCCCCAAAGCTATATATTCAGGCTCCAGCAAAGAATAGAGATGTGTGTGAGAGAGATTTTTCAAAGAGGAAATGCATTTTCCATGTGCAGTTAAAGACACAATTGGGAAATACTCCTCAAAATGATGGAGCCCGGTGGTGAAAGCCTAGATAAATCTTCCTTTGCCCAAAGAGAGTACCTATTACCATCATGTCTGTGTCAAGTGAAGGAATAGTCCAGATCCTAAAAACTCCAGGAGACTGATCTGTGACACTTGCTTTCAACGCCGTCAGTGTCAGAGTGAGCAAGAGAGAGGGTTGTGTGTTGTCACTGGAAGGAGACTCCGCCTTATTTTTTTAGGTTTCAGTGGCCCTTCCTTTCCATTCCCATTCCAATGATAATCCTTTGGTGCTTCTTCTCTCTTCTGCCTCTAGATCCTATGTACTGCTAGATCCTACTCTCGCATCTGAGTCGGTTATTTCTTATCTCTTAATAACATGAATATTTTACTTCAACAAGTATACAGCTTCTGGGCATAAGGCATGCTATATTCAAGATCTCAAGATATTGCAATTGACAAAGGTGACTTCTGATTAAAAAAAACAAAATGTATGTGGCCCCACTCACCTCTGTTTGTAGCATTCACTCCTCATGCTCTCAGGGGAAGCTCTGGATCCAGCCAGGGCACTTAGCTTTCTTACAAACAGAAGAGCCAACCTGGAATGTAGTTAACAACCCCCAAACTGCAAAGCATTTTGCAAATACAGTTTGCTATAAATAAATGCCATTTGCTTTAGGCTAAATCTGTATCCTCCAGCACACAATGGCTGAATTTCCCCAATGGATTATCATGGTAGGAGAATATTGGCATCCTCAATATTCAAAGCCTCACAATGGATGTGCATATGGCCTCAGGCATGTACATATTGACCCCTCTAGCCTCAGCAGCAGATGA